GATAAGACGCGACTTGCGCGAGAGCGACATAATAGCGAGATAACAGTATTTCGCTCTTTATGTCATCTAGTACCATGGCGCTACTAGTACTCTCGTACTAGTAGCGCCATGGTCGCGCACTATCGTGCTAACCCTACTAGTCATAGATATTTATCATTACGCATTATATGACCAAAAGTGCTGTAGCTTGCGTTTTTTGCTGGTACTCGAAACCTCTAATTTCTTATTCACCATCTGCAATAGTCTTTCATTGGATACTCTGTCCGTCCACGATATTTTTAAAATCCTTCTGTGTGCCCACATTTCGAATGCTTCTAAGCGGTTGCTCTTATTTTGAGTTAAGGCCCAGGACTCTACGCCATATAGACGAACCGAAAACCGTAGCAACGTGCTAAACGCACCCTGGTAGACATTTTCAAGGATCGTTGACCTATTCACCCCCAAAATGAATACAGAACATACACGAATATACAGGCACATGAGAATTGTCAACTCTATCTTTGCGATTAAAAGCTTCATTCATTCTGAGAACTCTAAAACGTGTTGCTAACCACCAGACACACGATTTGCTCGAACCCTCACTCAATATTGAAACAAAACACAGTAATGCGTAAAATTTTTTAGCACGCTCTGTAACATGACTTTGTTTTTAATTTTATATGGAGCTGTAAATATGGTAAAAAATAACTCGCCTCGCAATTTACAGGTTTATTACTTTTATTTAGAAATTTGTAATTCTATTGTTTTTCAATGTAAATAAATATAAAATGTGTGGAATTGATGATTGTTAACTTGAATACATTCGTTTGTGAGCGCAGCTTAGAGTGAGTGAAAGGGAATAAGGTGAGTGAGCGAGAAGACATTAGAACCATAGTATAATAAGAGCAAGTAGGGTAACTTCCGCCTGTTCGGCGCGTAAATGCCTATTCATCGCTCGTAACGTACGGTGCTACAACATTATTTTATTTGTACTTACAAGTGGTAAACATAATTTGAAAAATGAGGTATTCATCACACTATGTGCGACATTTAATCTGATATTTGACCACGAGCTTTTCGGTGAACACATGATCCGCATTGGCTCGCATGGGAACTACAGCCCGAGTCTTGTGAGAGGAGGCCTATGCCCAGCAGTAGGACTATTTTTTAAATAATAACTAAGTGACAGGACGAGCAAGTTGTGCGCCTGATGGTAAGCGACACGCCTGTCCATAACAGTTGCAGTACCACTCAGATCTTGAAACATGGTAATTGAAAATTAATGGTTTGGAATATCAGATCCCCGTATCCATCTTTTACAAAAGTACATGTTAGTATATACAACATAAATACATTATTGTAATTTGTGGTTGTCTATGTGTGTGTGTGTGTGTCCATGGCATCCGCGATACAGGGTTTACCTAGTGTGGAATTATAAGTGTGTGCATTATTATATTATTGTGCATTGTCTAAAGTTGCAACAGATACCAGTGGCGAGACCTGAACATTTTTCTTAGTAAGGCCAAAGCTTTAAATTTTTGAAAAGACTAAAAAGCACTAACAGAAATTTCCTTTCCCGTTAAAATGGCGCTTGGCGACAATTAAATACAACACTTATTAGAACAGAAGATACTAGTTCACTTCATATCACAGGTTAACTAATTCAACACATAAAATAACCATAACTTTTAAAGTAATTTTACATTGTGAGCTGCCCGTTGCGATACGACAATGCTAAGTGTTGGTTTTTAAATTACCAACGAATTACCTTAACCGTCTACATACACTCGTTACGTAGTCCTATTAAAAAGAAACACCCAAAAATATAGATACATATTTAACATTATTTATCGTTAAGATTTACAAAATAGAATTTAACCATATATTGTGTTAATTTTGCTTTTATAATAATTTTGTTTATAAAAGCAACATACATTATTTTAAGAAAGTTTTACATCTGGCAACGATTCTAACATTAAAACAAATTAAACTATAACGTTTTGGAATAAGGTTTAAATTTAAGTGTACGCTATTCAACAATAACTCGAATTATTGCGGCTTATCACAACTCAAAATTGCCGTCATCTCCAACCACGTTTCAGTATCAACAACCTTTTTAGAAATTACAAACAGTATAAAATACCTTGGAGTGCTGATTGACTCAAATCTTAATTTTAGACAGCATATTAATGTATTATCAGCGCGCATTCGGAAGCTCATTTACATCTTCAAGTCTCTCCGTCATGTAGCAGACACCTATATCATGAAAATGGTATACCTTGCTCTAGGACAAAGCTTATTTAGTTATTGCATTTCCATCTGGGGTGGGGCCGCTAGGACTCATTTTATTCTTGTGGAGCGAGCACAAAGGGTGATTCTAAAAGTTGCCTGCTTCAAACCGTACCATTTTCCTACTACGGATCTTTATGACTTTTGTCAAGTTCTTACTGTTAGGCAACTTTTTGTCCTCTGGACGGTGTTGAGACAACACACCCTTACACCTTATGACAGTGGCTCTGATAGGAGAAATTGCATAGTGGCCTCTTGTGACCGACTGAGGACTGCCTTTAGCCACAGATTTTTCTGCTTCCTTGGATATTTTCTTTACAATAAACTCCATCGAGAGCTTCACATTTTTGGGTTGAATAATTTCGAATGTAAGAAGAGGTTGGCAAACTGGTTGCAAAAATTAAATTATGATGATACGGAAAAGTTGCTTCACCCAATAGTCTGAATCGAACTTAATGTTCCGTTACTGGTACACACACTTATATGCACACACACACACACACACACACATGTATCCAAATCACACACACCCAAACACACTCGCGCGCACACAAACACACACACACACACATGTATTCCAAATTACACACAACCAAACACACACACACACAGCGCGTGCACATAAAAGAATTATCTCGAAGGTTTTTCTGTTACCGTAACTTATTTATTTATTTATTTTTTCTCTCATACATATAATTTGTGGTTGGTATATGTATACTTAGTAACATATGTTTCATTTGCAAGGGTTGGGGCCTGGTGACTTGTAGCATAGGTGTTAAGCCTATAGCAAACACCAGCTCCTACAAAATACTGTTCTAAAATTACTAAGATTGTTTATGTACTTCTTATTTGTTGTTGTATTTTGTGGAGAAAAAAAATAGTATTATTATCGGCCGCCATTTCTTTAAACGTTACAAAACGGATTTTTGCGAATGTGTGCGTATATTTTGATGGGAGCGCGTAGATTTCATGAATGAAATAGAACTCGCCGATCCGCCGGCTTACCTCGCGCTGATTGGTAGAAGTACATCGGAACAATTTATTACGCGTTTAATAGTGAATATTTTGAATAAACGTTTTTTAAGTGGTGGGGTATGCGCGGTGCAACTGGTAATAGGTACGCGGGAAATTTTAGGGAAGCTGGTAGGAATCGTGTTACGTGGTCGCCTCGCCACTAACGGATACCGAACGCCAGTCGCATTTGATACTGGGGTTGATTGCTAGTAAAAAACAATCAGTATTCAAGTTGTGTCTAGTCCAGCGCTCGGTTGCAATTTAAAGCTGAAGTAAAATTTATGTTGTCTATATCCGTTTTTATTTTCGTATATAAATTGGTACTTTTGTTGTCTTAAGGGTGAATTCATATAAAAATGCTCTTGACCATTTTTCTGAAGAACTAAATATTGTCTCCGGATGTTAAACCAATGTATGAAAATACGCTATTATTAATAATTTGGATTGGTTTCTACATGGTTTCCACATACATGGTTTAGTGTGAGTGATAATACCTTTTATACAAAATCTTTGTTTTTTTATAATACCAAGTGACGGGACGAACAAGTCGTACGCCTGGTGGTAAGCGACACGCCTATCTATAACAGTTGCAGTGCCGTTCAGAGCTATAAATCGCAAATATCTTATGGGCACTGCCACTGCACCCGTCACCCTGAGACATAAGTTGACAAGACCCAAGTGCCTGTAATCTCACATTACTACTTGGCGGTAGAAATAAGTAAGGTGGCAGTACTTGCCACCTACTTTCTACCAGAGAAGTATTTCTGGACGAATTCTTTGACAAGGAGCTCTACGGCTACTAAATGCGCTTATATGCAAAGTAATGTAGTAGTAAATAAATGGTGAGGGTACATATTACAAAAAACTAAACCAATATACAGAAAACAACAAACAAGGGTATACATAAAATGTATTTGAAAAGTGACAAAACGATTGTTTACGTTATGGTGACAGATTGTTATCAAAAGTCGATGTTAACGATAAAAATACAACTGACAAAATTTTGTTCAAACGTTTTCGATGATTTTTTGTATACAATTTCATTACGTGCATTCATTTTAGAACAAACTTTACTTATATCTACGAAGTATATAACATTGCGAATCCCCGAATAACGAACAATGTAACTGGTTGAAATAAATAAACCCCGACGTCCACAATGCTGCGCTACTAAATGCAAAGAGGGTTGCTGACGGGTGTAAGTGGTAAGCTGACGAGACTTTGCGGAAAGCTGACAAATCTAAGCGGTAGTGAACACTTTTAAGGAACAGAAAATTCCAAGGCTGAGAGAAAGATTTTAGAGTTATAAAAATCATGTATGCCTTTACAATATACACATCACATCAGTATAGAAATTTATATACTCTACAGTATATTGTAATAATCCCATGTTCCATTGTAGGGTATGACTTTTTTCTAAGGAGAGTGTTTACACCGTATTTCGATATGTAGACTCTAATATTCTAAAGACTTTACAGGCTTGAGAAGGATTTTAAATATCTATTTAATATTGTTCTATTTTACGCAAACATTGTCTTCAATAAATATTGGTTACATTGCAAACCATCAATGTCCTGCCGTTCCAGTAAACTACATAATGTTCTAGGGATAATGACTAACATTATACTAGCCTTCCTCCAAATTCAAGAAAATATTCACGATAGATCTTTCGCCGCCACATTTTCAAATAAATTACCTCCATATTTCATTGGTTACAGACGGACAACCCTTACGAAGCTCCCAACTTCTGCCGGTCACGTTTTTGCTTCGTCAACGAACACTCTGAAGACTCTAGAAATTGTGCATACCACTGGAACTATGCCAACAGTTTATAAATGCAGTGTTTCGAGAATAACGAGCAAATTATTCGGAACGCCATTGTAATTTTTCAAGAGAATGTTAATGTCAGGCAAAAGTGTCGTTTTGTATTGCTTTGTGTTTATACGAAAGCTTTTTTTACAAATACAGGTACCAACTATAAAATGGAACGGTATTACATGCGCGCGTTTAAAACACATTGACAAGGACCCTAGTATGCAACTCCCACTTATATGGCGCATTAATGCTTCGTATACATCGCTTGAAGCGCCGGGTTGTCGGATATTTTAGTCGTACCTACAGGTTGTAAATAAGTTGAAAAAATTAAGATATTCATCCGTCCTCATGCTACCCTAATGGTTTAATCTACCGCCTCTCAAACAAAGAGTCGTGGGTTCGAATCCGAACTTGCACCTCTGAGTTTTATGGAATTTAAATTTAATTTGCCATTTGCCATGACTTTTTCAGTGAACACGTGAAGCATCGTGAGAGAAAATTCCAATCCGCACTGGGCTCGCATGATAACTACAGTCCGAGCCTTGTTGATAGGAGGCCTGTGGCCATCAATGGGACCATTGACTTACAATTATATGGACGTCGGGTCCGCGCTAAAAAGTGTCCGCACTTGTAAGGCGCTAAAATCGTATACAGAGCGCGACACTCCGCTTTAGTCTTCATTTGTTCTACTGACAGCGCGATACTACGATGACATTACAATTTAAATTTCGAATAGGTTGACTTGGGACATTTTTTTCGTGGTTTTTGTATTAGACCCGTCGTCCATTTATTTGTAAGTCAATGAATGGGACTATTTTTTTTTATAATAACTAAGTGACGGTACGAACGTCGTGCGCCTGATGGTAAGCGAAACGCCTATCCATAACAGTTGCAGTACCACTCAGAACTTTAAATCACGAAGATATGAGGGATACTGTCACAGTTCCCGATACCCTGAGACATAAGTTAACAAGTCCCATGTGCCTGTAATTTCACAAACACCCGTACACTTCAAAATCGGAACTCACACTAATACTTGGCGACAGAAATAGGTAAGGTGGCAGTACTTCCTTAGACGAACTCTTTCACAAGGAACTCTACTGCTACTAATAATAGTTAGCCTACTATATATTATTATTAAGATATTCATCATAGTACTGATATAATGAAACAACCTTTGTCAAATGCAGTACTTACATATTGATGCTGAACAATTCTGAATTTGAGGCATATTTGTTTAAACAACATAAACACACCGATAAATACGTCTTCTGTTGAGGTACTGTTGTAAACACCGAGCAAATGTTTCAATTCTGTAATAAATGGTGCGTGTGATGACCCGTGCTTTGCAACTCGAGTGCACTGCGAGATTATGCGTATGTGTGGGTACGCGCACACACTTACAAGCCGCTCTCTTACGTTTGTATGGAGTTACAATATTTATCTTATTATACTTGGTACCACGAAATGTAATAACACTGAAATAAAATTCGTAGACTGTAAGATTTGATATTCTGTAAGTTTGTGTTTCTCTCAAGTCGTAAAAAAATATTTCGATACAATACACAGGGGTACAGTTGGTATTGTAAAAAATTATCAGTTTCTACATACTCCTGTGCTTTTGGCAGCTGGCTGGAACTGCAAGTTTATTGTAAAGATTTAAATTCAAATAACGTTTGTCTTACTCGTCGTTTTTTGACGTAGTCTACTTTGACTATAGCACGTAAACGTAGTATCAGAAACATCTTATTTTGAATTAGCATATAAAAACATTATTCCGACGTCACACCATTGTAATATCTTAGTGTTACAGTAACTAAGAAAGAGTCGGAAATGTAATTTATTTGGTACTATCAAATTGGAACAGAAACTTTAAATTGCAAATATCTGACGGACATTGCCACGGTTCTGGTCACCCTGAGGCATAGGTAAGTTAACAAGTTCCATGTGCCTATAATTTCACTAGCACTCTTACCATTCAAAACCGAATCGCAGTAATGCTCACATTACTGCTTGGTGGCAGAAATATAGGTACTTCCCTAGACGAACTCTTCCACAAGGAGAATACTTTAAAATCAACAAAAGTCAAGAAAAAGAATATTTTATAAATAACAATTGCTTTATAATTTATGACAAATAATTCAGAATGAATTAGAAAAATAGACTGCGGAAACAGGTGGCGTGACTGTAAAAGCAATACCACACGACGTGCGTTGGCGTTGGTTGGACGCCTGAGTGGTTGGTGCTTCATTTTACACCATAAATTAGAACTATATGCCACATATGTAGTGCGTTAAAACGGCGCATGGTGACGGAACGTATGTGTTTCGGGCAAGGGCCAGGAGACGAAGCATGTAGGGGTGCTGCGATGCGTAAGTAAGCGGCATTACATTGCGACACCGCGTTGGTAGTATGGCACTCGGAACTTTAAAATCATAATGTTGCGACGACGCAACGCATTATCAACGCCCGTGTGCATTGCTCTAAAAAGATGAAACAGACTGATAGGTGTGGGATTTTTACGGTACATTTATTTAATTCAAAGAATAATCGACCTTCTAACAGGAAGGAACAATAACTAGTTTGTATTAAACTTCATCCTAATTCACATCTTAAATTTTCAGGAAGTGAGGTCGGAAATGAACTTAAATATATAATAAATTAAGTCGTAGCAGAGCGTACTAAAAGCAGAAAAAGGGAACTAAAAATGGGTAACGATTGCCCAAAATCTCGTGGGAAGACCAAAAAGACTTTATCTAGTAAAATGCCTATTTACTGTAACCGTGAATGGCCCAAATTGTAGCATTCGTGGCGTGTATTTCGGCATCTGTTTCCCGAAAGCTATACATTTTCTTCATCCTTCCTTTGTCGCATGAGGAAGAATGAAGTAAAATGTTTCGTGCGAACCCAATCTCAAGCTCTAATAATCTCTATTTTATAGGTAAGTAAATTACATTTGAAATTGTCACGTTAATTAAACTCTACTAAGTTTTTATTGAATTGATATTCAATTATTAAACTCTAAACTCTACTACTCATTCGTAAAGCAGATGAGAAGAATCAGTAAGAAACTGTAGGGGCCGCTCTTTGTGAATAAACTGCCTCTGTGGCCGAACGGTTACCATACTGGTTTGCCACGCAGAGGTCCCGGCTTCGATTCTCGGGCCTGGATAAATATTGTATGGCCTACATTTATTTCTCTCGTGTGCTTGGGTGTAATTTGTGGTTGTCTATGTGTGTGTCCATGGCACCCGCGACACAGGGTTTCCCCAGTGCGGCGCTATAAGTGTGTGCGTTAAAAAACATTTTTACACATAGGTACGTTAACTTTTAGTAAACATCCTATTTTGAATTACATAGCGTCGGCTAAATTCGTAAACTCGTAACCTCCATTAATACAAACTTTTGATTAAGCAAAAAAAAGAACAGAATCACTAAAAACAATTATATGACAATCTATGATTATGCCTTTACTATATAACTAAAAGAACGTCTACAAATTATAATTTAAACTTTAAATGCACGAAGAGACGAAGAGTAAAAAAGGGATTTCATCCAAAAATAGAGTTACCAAGTTCCCAAGTTTTGCCGACGGTGTTTACCTACATAGATTTGAAAAATTGTATATTTAAAATTTTTATTGAATTGATATTCAATTATTTTATGTGAAATTACTCCAACAGTTTGTTATAATTATTAATACAAAGATCGAACACAGAAAAAAATATATATTTCATAATAAATACGTAACTATAGCTTTACGAGTCTTGTCAGTGGTTTGGATAGGTAAATTACACTTACAGGTAAAAACTTCTAGCGTCTATTAGTTAATCGAGTTCCGAGAAATATAATATTTTATTTCCTATCTCTAGCGACTAAGTTAAAATAAAAATTCCGTGTTTTGAAAAGTATATTCTAAAAATAACATCCATTGTCTGAGTAACACGGTCTTTCACTATTTCGGGTTATTCACAGTCAGAACACGTAACGGGGTGCAGCGCGGCGTAGTTTTTACATCTACCTTCTATTCAGGCGACAAACACGCAAATGTATCCGAATTTTCCATGGAGTTTTTCAACATACGTAGTGTGGCAACTAGATTGTTTATTACGTTCCGATACATTCAGTATTGTAAAAAGTAAATACACAATTACGAAAAGTTTCACGACTTCACGACCAACAGACGTGCGACATCTGTTGATGCAAAATCTTACATTGATTTGAATATTCATGATTTTCACACATTAAAAAAATTCTAATAAAGCTATACGATAATAGAGTATATTAATTGAGAAAAAGAGGGGAAACGTTTTATTGGAATCCTTGAAAAGAACAGAAAAATTTGTTTCAAATTTCTTTTATGTTATGTCCTTAATTCAATTTTTCACATTATCGTATAATAAAAATGAAGGCATATAAATTTTAAATTACGAACAAGTTCCTCAATCAAAATTCAATTACTCTTATGGGCTTTATAAAATTCATAAAGAAACATAGGCGGTCTGTATTTTTAAAAAAGCAAATTTCATTTGAATATTAATTGATATGCGATGGAAATTCACTCGCGGTTTCAGTTTGAATTTGAAATTGTACTGGTAAATTATAAAATAAAGCAATTTATTTTTAAATTGATTTATTTTGATCTAGTTTGAACATGTAAATTAAAAACCTAAAAGAATGTATTGTAGTTGTAGTTGGAAATAACCTTTTTATTTAAAAAAAACCGGTCTCAAAAGTTTGCTTATCAGCTTTTCTTATTGGAATTATACGTATTTGCCAAGTTTAATTGGAATCGGTTAAAGGGAAGTGCGCGAAACCGGATTCATCCAATAGTTTCTCTCCTTCAGAGGTGGAATATTTTCTTCAAATTTAAATGGAACCAATATAGAGGTACTCTCTTTTCAACAAAAAATAATGATGGTTATTTTTTGTTGAAAAAATCGTCGAAAAATCAGTTCACAAATGTAAGTAATCGCGTAATATACACCCAAAAAATACAGCCTAATCGAGAACCTCCTCC